CAAAAACATGCAAACAAAGGCACTGGTCATGCAAACTTTTTATCCTTAACCACGTGCAAAGAAGTTATAAAATTAATGGGTGAGAAAGTTTTGATCACATCAAAATATCAAAATACTATTTAGTGTCAATTGAATCCAACCATGATAATAGCCACTCTGACCAACTAACTCGTGTAATACGATACATTGAAAATGATAGCCCCAAAGAACGATTCCTTAAGTTTGTGGAAAACCACGGTCATACGGGACAACGAATGACTGATTTCCTTCTGTAATTTCTTGAAAAAAATGGATATTGACATTTCATATTGCCTGGTCAGTCGTATGACAATGTATTTAACATGAGTGCAAAATATAATGGATTGCAATCCATAATTCGTGAAAAAATTCACTAGCAATATATGTTTCTTGTTGTGCAGATTCCTTAAATCTAGTGGGCGGGCTGCAGTTGATTGTGTGGAACATTTGTAGCATTCATTGATTGTGCGGAATAGTTGTACCACTTTTTCACTGCTTCAGCTGCGTGCTATGACATGCTCAAAGCTAAACTTGTCCCTAAACTCGTTGGTCAGCTCATGCAAATTCAACAAAAGCAGTGGAAGCTGGTTATACGGAGATTCAAAAACTTCTTGATGATATGTCTAATGATGTGAATGAAAAAGATGTTTGCAACACTGTTACTGTTCTTTATAACACCGTTTGTATGCTCGAAAGGGGAGTTTTGCTGTTTTTGGCACTTTAGTTTGGAAAGATTCAACATCACCAACAAGCAATTGCAAGATCGGAAGATGGATCTTAACACTGCCATCATTTTGCCGAAATCTCTGGAAACCTTTTTGGAGTCACAGCGTGATTGATTTGATGAATTTGGAAAGAATGGTGCACAGCGTTCTGGTACGTCACCATACCATAAGCAAAGGACACAGGTTCGGCCCAGCAATGTACGGTTGAATCCGCTTGATTATGGTGAGGCGTCTGATGTTGAACGGACACCGAAAGAAAAGTTTTGAGCTTAGAGATTCCTTCCTGTAATTGGTATGTTGCTTCAGATCCTGTGCAAACGTATCAATGCATATAATGAAATTTGTGAGAGTTTTTTTTAGGTCAACTGGATAAAGTGAAGAGATTCCATCAACTGCAATGATCCTGAATCAGATATGTTATTCAGGCCTAGAAGATTGTCTTGGCGAGGAGGTTGTTCACTTTAGAATAGATAAACTGTTTCAAGAAGATAAAGAGAATAATTGAAGTACTGAGCAGTTCATATACAAGCTGCTACATGGTAAGAAAAGCTACATTTTCGAATGCTGAGATCATGCTATGTATACACTCTAATCTGATGATCAGCAACTGTAGTGGTGAGCAATCTTTCTCAAAGTTGAAATTCATCCAAAAAGAACTTTGCACCATAGTGACTAAAAGTTGGCTTAACTGCTTGTCTTTTATACTGAATCCGAAATTTTGTGCAGCCTCGATTTCACAGACGTAATAATTTACTTTGCCATTAGAAAAGTATGGGTGACATTTTTTACTAGATATTTTTTTTTGTTTTGTTTTTTTACATTTGTAAAAATAGATTGTTTTTATAGCACTACATTTTAGTTTCTATTTTACGATGAATCTATATGGACCTCCATATGGTTAAGTCCCACCAGGTCCACCACAATACTTAATTTGGCACTGATTCAAGACATTGCTTGATATTCCCCGTTTGACTTCAGAATATAAAAATATAAACATTTGTGTAGTTTTAGCTATAAATTTTGCTCGTATAAATATTTTACAAAACTTTAATTTGGCAGAAATACATTAGTTAGTTGTTATTGTGGTTTAGAAAAATCTCTTGTGGAATTTTGTTTATATCAGCTCAAATGTTACAATCTAACTTGACGAATATTCCTAAGCACTTCTAGTTCTTAGTAGCAGATAGCAAGTCGTTTAAGCAAAAGGGTTTCAAAGATAAGTTGTTTTATAGGTTAATCAAGTCACGAGAAGAATAAAACATAGCACTGTAACTACTTAAAATGCCAAAAACGGTAGTTTCGTGTGCATGTTCGAGAACAAACAAGTCGGGTGATTCCGCCCCTCAATAGAGGTGCATCCAATCAGGGAGAAAAGTTTCATTACAATCCAATAAATTATCTATCGCTGAAATCTCACGATTTGTGTGGTTCACGAAGATACCAATACTACAAAAAAAGTTTGATTCAAAATCTAGTTCAGCTTTTCGCCTCAAGCCTTTCAATTTAAGTCTTCTGATTGAATTTGCAAACACTTTTCATAGTTTTTCTGTTATTTATTTATTTTTTTCGTTTGGGATATATATAATCTCTGCTTTCACAAAACGTAGACTGTTATAAAATATAAGTCGTTTAACTAAAGTTATAAGACAGTTACTTACCGACGAAATTAAAAATAATAATAATTAGAATTAAGTCAAATTTCACAAAGCCTGTGATGGGAAGGTATATAAAACATTACAATGATTCGTTTTTACACTAAATATTACAATCTGAATCCCATAATTTCCCATTTTTTAGGTTTATCTTTTTTTAATCGTCAATTCCATATTTGTTAAATTTAAAACTTTTGTTTTATTTCAAGTTATTGGGCTTCAGCAATTCGGATATCACATATTATAACATGATGCTACGTGTTTTTAAACATTTGAGTGGAGTTTTTGACAATCTTAAGTACGTGCCATAGCTCTTATAATACTAATTGAAACTATACTTTCCCAAATTTTAAATAAATCGTTCCTCACATCCTTAAGAAACAGAACGTATACTGTTAAAGTTTGGTCATCTGTTTTTACATTTTATTTTGTAAATATGTGTCATCTGCTAGCATTTGGTATAAAAACAAGATCTGTATTTGAAATATGCCAGAAGAACGAAATACCTATACCCGCTCCTAATTTTAAATTCTAAATCTTTCCTAAATGTGAGGCCTGCAAATAAAGGTTAATCTAATTATTGTTGTATCGTTACTGTTGTGTTATTATCAGCTTTGTGATTTTATATGGTTATAAAATTTTCTTCAGCCATATGTTATATCCTCCCATCTTTGATCTAAACATTAATTTTCTAATATAAATGAAAAACCAAACTTAACCGTTCGTCTTTTCTTATACTGTCCCCAATCGGTATGGAAATCATGTGAAGATATACTCAAATTTCTTATAATTTTATATCAGGACTGTTTGAATAACTCTGAAAAATGTTTTAGCCAGAAGAAGTTCTTGTTGGGTGTATTTCAATATATGGTTATTTTATTCGAATGAAAAAGAAACAAGCAGTTAGTTAGTGTTAATTAATGCTATTTAATTGATGTAACTATGTGGCGTTGCTCACCAAAGATGAATCTTGGTCTTTGTTTGCCGAGCGGAAAATTATAAAGATTAATGAGTTAGTGTCAGTAGTTCCTCAATGAGACTTTAAGATAAGATGTGAATTTACGGTTGATGCACCTTATCTAGCTACCATTCATGTTTCCTTGCTCGACTCCTTATTGAAACAAGACTGGATTAACTTTTCATCAAATGACATGTTTCACCACATGGTTCTAGAATTTAGAAGATTGCTGGCAAAAATTAGAAAACTTTCTTAACCATGCTAGTAGTATTGTTTTAGAAAGTTTGTGCATAAAAGTTGATTTTCTAACCGCTCATTGCCCTGTATGATAATGTAGCTAATGTAAGAAATACGCCAAACATATCTTGACTTAGCATGAAATATAGAACTGCAAAAAAGAAATTCGTAAGATATTTTCTAAAATTAATGAAACTTGACGTTTTTAGATTAAGCCTACCCAACGTTTTCCGACTCAGCTGTTGAATTTCAAATAAAGGATGTTTTTTCTCCAAAGCGATCCTAGTCACAATACTCGGTTGAATGCTTAACGATACTAGAATCATTGTTTCCGAAAACGTGATAAACACACCATCTAAGGGTTGCAAGGTTAGGAATAAATAACGATATGGACCAATTTTTGTGAAGTGTTTATGTCTAGCAAATGCGAAAGCTTTTAGATAAATTCCATGCGTTTTTATGACAATTGGTAAATCTAAAACTGTTAAAAGTTACGCTTATTTCTAGAAAATTAAAATATTAATTTATAAGTATATTACATTTCTTATTCTTTACACGTCAAATCGTTTCACAATTTTCGGGGTTGAGGGATGTGCATAGAAAGGTGTATGTGTAAGTAGGTTAAAAATACATCTCTTCTTATTGTCACTTTTAAATGATCAAGATGTATACGTAATCATAATTATGAAAATCATTTACATTATTATTCACCGTCTCTACACTGTGCACTAAGTACAGTGCATTTAATTAGTAAACATTAAGTCAACAGTAAATAAATGAATCATAACAATTTATGTTTATATAAACTTGGTTTAAAAAGATAGCTCAAACTTGCTTTTATCAGAACAGAACGTGAGATGACAGCAATTCCCGGTGAAATCCTCCACGTGTACAATACCTACAAATTATTCATTTGGAACAACTAATATATCTGTTAAGTAACTGACGTTTTCTTAATAGACTTGCACATATAAAGATAAATTTCCCGCATAACATGGGAGAAAGAATCATACAGGAAAAAGATATATTCAGCATTCTAACCCCAACTGAGGTTTCTGATTTCTAAAGCTAACCGAGTGAATGCCCGGTACGTGTTTAGAAAACAGTTGCTTCATATACATCGACGCTACTCACAATCACTGGATTTTGTGTCATTTACCACACGTGTCTAAATGAAAGAAGAAGATGAAACATATGCGTAAAATTAATGGTGAAAAGTTCGTCTTACATAACTTTTAATTTGTTTACACTATTATACATTTACAATTTTGGATGTTAGTTGCTTGTAAGACAAGAAATTCGAGCTATTGTGTTTTTATTACGGTAAGCAATTGATTGTTAATGAATTTTGACATTCAAGAATAGGTTTTGAATAATCCCAAATAAAATTTTATATTCTTATCTCCTTACCTCCGCCATTTTTGTAACACAAATATGGAAACCTCCAGACGTTACCGAGGCCAATGGCATAACCGACGCATGACATAATAAAGTCCAACTTTCCAACCCAGTTTCCTCTTTCAGGAAGTTCATCTTCTGCATTTTTGGGTACCACAGCAGGTGTTACACCTTCAACAACAGGCCTTTCTTCTGTCGCTTCTGGAGGAGACTCACAATTAGCAGAATAGGTTTTAGTGTTCAACACGCTTTTGTCATCGTCCGCCATGGTGAACTGTTAAATAAATATGTATATTGTTAATCGCTTTAAACCTAATTCATCGAAACATCTATTGAACTGACTGCTTTTACTTGTTTTGTGAAGAATGTATTATGTTAATATTTTTCAGTGCGTGTTAACGAAATTACCGTTCTCCTCGGCCTCAGAGAAAAAAAAGGAGTTGATTTTCTTTTAGCTTAACAATTTCGCTGTTGAGAACGTTTGTTTGTTTAAGAACTTTGCATATAGGTACACAGGAGGTATCTGAGCATAGCCTTCCCTAATTTTGATCTGAGAGACTACAGGAAAGGCGACTAGTCAACGGCGCCCACTGTTAGTTCATGGGTTACTTGACAATTACTCTTGTAGCGCACGTACGGCCCCAACGCGCAGAGCGCATTTTTGCGCATCGAGACGATAAACGTCGAGATTTACTATTAGTAAAGTGCTGTTATACAGAGGTGTAGGAGGCAAAGTAAAAGTGGGAGGTTTAAGGTTTATTTGACCGAGCGAAACGAGGCGCGCTCAATACGACGGGGTCCACGGCTCGCCTTAGTGCCCTGGAAGCTCTTGGTTTCTGGATTAAATGATATACATCCTCCTGCTTTTCTTGAGAGTAATTTTCCTAATTTTGACGCATTTTCACTATCACTTAAAGGCAGTTATTGGTTACCTAATCCATTATAGTTAACGATAGTTAAATTATTGAGAAACATGAGGGTTTTTGGTTGTAATTAAGCACAAAGCTACACAATGTGTATCGAAATTCGGTTTCTAGCGATGTAAGTCCGCAGACAAACATGAGGAACGTCAACAAGTTTTATAGTTTATAACAATGAACGTAAAACATGATGATGTAAAAGAAATAAAGTATATATTTGCCCAAATTTAATTAGTTATACAATTAAAAACTTTTCATTTTTCGGTGAAAGATATTTCTAATATTTTCACCAAAATAACATGAGGTTTGTATTTCTTATAAAACATAATTAAATAATCACAAAAATAGTTTCTGACAGTAAATATTGATATTTTGAACAAGAACAGTGCCAGTTGCTTATTACGAGACAATGGGCTATCTGTGCTCCGCCCACCACGGGTATCTAAACCCGGATTCTAGCGTTGTAAGTCCGCAGACATGCCGTTGTGCTACTGGGGGGCTATTACGAGACTATTCTCAACTGAATAACTCGATTGAATTTCCCCCAAAACCAAAATGGCAGAGCGAGTTTATCAGAATAACACGGCTCAAACCTTGGACCTTCAAATTCACAGCTCAGCAACCTAACTAGCCACGCTAGGTCCCAGTGAATGTTAAACTGATTATATACATATATTTTTTTAATTGTTATGTCATACCGATAACTGAAGGTTATCCTTGGGAAAACGTCTCGCTCTTGCTGTCAAAAAAGACTGGATCAGTAAATTAACTTTTATTTCTTTTGATTGTTGAAAATTATCAACTACCCCAAGGCTTGGTTTCAGAAAGTAGATTAAATTTAACGAGAATACTAAGTGGTGTACAATACAGTCAAGCCTATTTCTGTATCCCAGTCTTTAAGCAACGAGTGCATTTGAGCAACCAAGGAACAAAACGCTGAGAGGTTGTTAAAGAGGAGAATCTGATGGATAAGGTTAATAGAAGCCAGTTAAAGTAATCTAAGGAGACTACTTAAAACCCGTTTCCTCTACCTCTCTCTTTGTATGGCACTTCGGTGCAGTTGTAAGAGAAGATCCAAGGAAGTAGATCAATATAAGAACTGCGTGATAATAGTAGATACTGGACAGAACGTGTGAAAATGCGCAAGTGTCGTTGGTTTCACTCGCTTTTGTTTATAGCAGCACGTTCAGCTACTCATTTGAAACTTCATTCTTCCTCCTTTCCTCTGTATCTTCGGCAACAGAAATTAATATCCATCTGAATGCGGGGTGTTTTATCAGCTGGAACGATGTAGTTAATGTGTTTCAAACTTGTTTTTGTAATTTTTTATTCTTAAGGAACAACGTTCTTTTGATTTTTTTCTTCTTGGAGAAATGTTTCCTCGCTGTAATTTTTTTCTTGTTGGTTAAGCCTAATGGATACTAGATCCGTCTCAAGAAATTGAAGACAGTATTAATGTATGTAATTTTTTCACTACCAATACCTATCTATCTTTTCATTTCTTGCTTCTCTGATTATATCGTTGCAAGTAGTGACATCCAGAGATTAGATCCACTCAGACAAGGCTGACATTAACGAGGGTGGGAGATCTTGAAATGTCGTTGACCATCTCATGCTAACGCTGTCCATTATTTAATTTTAGATTTATTTTAGGTTTGGCCCCATCATATGTCTCATTACCACCTCACCCCACCACAACCACCACTGGAGCCACTCAATCTCTCACCTTGAACTTTGGCATGACATTTTCCCGTGACGTCATCGACTGTGTACTACTACTTTTGTAGAGGGTTTATTTCAAAAGTATTTTTTTCCTTGTTTGTTCCAAAAGTATGACGAAATTAAAGTATACAATCAGTAACTAATTATTAACTATCTATAACACATGATAACGAGATGTAATAGCTAATTTGTTTGTTTTGGAATTTCGCGCAAAGCTACATGTGGGCTATCTGTGCTAACCGTCCCTAATTTAGCAGTGAAAAACTAAAGAGAGGGCAGCTAGTCATCACCACCCACCGCCAACTCTTGGGCTACTCT